TTCCCAGAAGGGATGACCAGCTTCAACTGGACAGAGGAACCAGTAGATATGGCAGTCTTAAGCTGTAGTTTGGTGAGGGAAAGCAGCTATTCCATCATAAGGAATGGCTCCCCAAACCTCCTTCCCCAGCCACTGCTCCGTGCCTCTCTGTGCTTCTTCTCTGCCCCCAAACAGCTTTTCCTTCCTCTTCTCAGGGAAGGGGATGAAGGGGCTTACCTGGCAGGAGCAAGGCAGCAGTGACTGCAGTGCAGGGGCAGGAATCCTGTAGGTGGAATCACTGCCAGAATTCCCCATCTGGCCCTACCACACTCAGCTCCAGAGCACTGGGGAACAGGCAGAGGAGAGTGAAAAGGAAAGGCTCCGTCCCCTGTTCGAGGGGTTGCTGCCAGACTGCCAGGAGCTCAAACCCTCTGTGTGGCAGCTCCAGCACAGACAGTGAGCTGGATTTACCTGCCCTCCTGAGGAAGTTAGCGTGCAGTAAGCCAGGCTGTGAGTTCCCAGCATCCCAGCAAACCCATGCAGACTCCCTGCACGGAGTCTCCTCAGCCTTATCTCCACTGGGGACTTCAGGAAAGCTAATCTGAATTAATGAAAGGTGTGCATTCAAAGTAGATTTGTTAAACTGCTTTAAAGCCCAGCATGGACATTCTGTTGCAGTATTAAAGCAGCCTTAATCTGATTTGGAGTCATTCTTTTTGAGGGAAAGTAACCCGAATTGAATTAAGGCTGCTTTAATTCCGAACACAATGGGGCTTAATGCAGTTTACCTCATCTGCCTCACAAGTTCATTCAGACAGATAAGCCTTTAGTAATCATTAGATGGACTGGAACTGACCCTGCTTGGCAGGGGGTGGCTGGGCAGAGCGTGCCCACGTGCCACAAAACTCTTTTAGTACGGGACTGCTGGAAAATTCACAGCCTGGCTCACTGAGGGGATAACACATGGATCCTGCTAAGGGTTCTGGTGATTTCCTCCCTTTGTTCCTGGTTTGCACATCTGTAGGTGTGAGGAGGGTCAGTGCTGACAGCGATGCTGGCCCAAGGATATTGATTCCCACTCACAAAGTCTCTTAGCTGCACCCGTGCTAAACCTGACTTACTGCTGATCACGTGGACAAGCGCTTGAAAGGTGGTATGAAGCACCAGAGACAGGACAAAATTCAGCAAAATGCAGCAGTGATTTTGCCCAGATGGAGGTTTCAGGGATCAGACCCTTCTTAGCAAATCGTTCGTTGGAGGCTGCGTTGGTCCAAGTCGACAACTGATTGAGCAGTGGCAACTTTTATTGACAGGTTTATTTTTATTTTTTTTTTTTTTTAATTTTCCTAAAGGAGAATTGTTTTAATTAGGCAGAAGTACAGAAAGTTAGTTTCTGTTAGGGGAGAGCTGAAGCCCAAGTGTAACCTGTTTATTTCTAAGTGTGAGGAACTGAGGGCGAGTTTCACTTTTCCACAGTTCACGCTGGAACGGTGCAGTTTCTTATATGCTCAAACATTAAACAAAACACAGTG